CTAGTGTAAGGTGTCCCTGCCCATGGCAGGGGGGTTGGAACTGGATGATCTTTAAGGAACCTTCAAACCCAAACCATTCTGTGACTCTGTGACTCTATGAACTGCCCCAGTACTCTGCACCCTGCGCTACCCGCGCTGGGTTGAACTGCAGCACCCCACCTCTTGAGGGGGGGTGTCTTGAGGTCACGGGAAGGTCTGCAATTACAACCGGGTGGACATGAGGCAGCCTGGGAGAGCCTCGTGTCAGCATCCGCAAATGCTGTTCTCAGCCTGAACTCATGCACGAACACGCGCACGTGCCGTGCTTCACACTGCTCAGAGAGGAGCAACGCTGCTGGGAGGCCTCGTTTCAGCTCCAGCCCAGGAGACACGGCTGAGCCCGTGAGCGAAAGGCACGCTGCCGGCCCAAGCTGGGTTTCTTCCCCTTGCAGAAAGGCCAACTTCGGCCACGGACACCAAGAGGAGTTTTCCCAAGGATTACCAGGCAGCCTGCCACCTTCTTCCATCATGGTACCGCCAAGGGGACAGGCGAGGCCACTGCAGCACCGAACACGTCTCCTTCAGCCACGCCCCGGCATCTCCGCCATCTCCATCATCTTCATCTCCACGGAAAGCCACGCTGCTCCCGCCGCGCTGTGCACAGGGTTGGACTTCTACCGCGCTCCGTTGTGACCACATGGAAAACGTAGGGGCTGATCACAGCGCAGAGTCATCACGAAGCCTGAACACCAGCTCAGGTGCCGACGAAATGTGCTCTTGAGCCATTTTAAATACACGAGACTTCACCGCATGAGTAGGTCCTGGCTAACCTTGTTTGACCTCTGCCGTCTCCTCCCCAGCCCCAGGTACGTTTTTCCTGCCCTCCACAGCTGACCTCCTAGAGCAGAAGGAAGGTCTGGATGCTGCGGGCCCTGGGAGACTCCCCCGAGGGGGCTGTTCCTGCCGGGACCTTTGGCACCAGCAGATCTCACAGCTGATGAGGCTCCTCAGGTTTTGGTGACTTTCGGGGTCTTCTCCAGGGTCTTGCGTTTTCATCCTACAATGGTGCAACTTGCCAGACGCTTCCCAAGTGCCGTTTGGCAGCAATTACAGCCGAGACACGTGCTGGGCAGAAGCCTTGAAGACACAGCAGGCAGCAGCAGCCAGGACCTTCCCCCAGAGCAGAAGGTCTCTGCATAAATTCCACAACTCCGACACGATTCTCTACAAGCAGTGCAAGAATACTGACCTTTCTGGGTAAATGCTGCCACCAGCAACGCCACCAAACACAGGAAGGGAAAAAACAGGGATTACCTCGCAGTAGGACACTCATTTCCACAGTGTCGACAGGACACAACTCCAGATCTGGTTTTACGGACAACTCGGCTCGTGTTCCTCCCAGCACCATCACAACATCCCTTTGAGCTGTATCCCCGGAGGCCAAAGCCCCCGTGGAGGAATCCCACCTGGGACGGGTCCGAGAAGCTCATGTCCTCCCTGGACCACGTACACCCCATGGTGAGAGGCGCTGCCCGGCCGAGGGGCCCGACCTCAACCCGAGACAGCGCCTTGCCGGCCACCTGCGACGTGAGCGAACCATGTCCAACCTCCTCATCTGCCAGCTGTGGAGCCGGAGCGACCCAAGCCAAGGCCCTCCCAAAAAGCCAGAGGGGCCCCAGCGGGTTTCGCAGAGGCACTGTCAGGGTCTCCGCTCCCTGTCCCAGGAAAGGAGTTTACATGGCCAACCAGGGCTTACGGACTCAAGTCAAACACTTCAAACCGAAGTAGGTGACGCTGCGCTACTCCAGCTTCCCACCGCCATCCACGTCCTTAAAAAAAGCATTTTCTGTGCAGCGAGGGATGGACCGGTGCTCAACAGCCACCTGCGTTCAAGAGAATTAGGGACATGGATAAATGCTGCAGACATCAGTAGTTTATTGGTATGTTTAGTCAAAACACATTCAGAATGGAAACTTAAAAGTAAAAATACTTTCCACCCGCAACAGTTAAACTAGAATCTACTAGCATATAATGCTTGACACGTTACAGCAATAAAGATGGAAATCCACTGTCTTGCATACCTACTAAAGCCGAGATGGTCAGCCAAGTTTGGTGAAATAGAACCGTCATGACAAAAACACTCCCACCATCCACAAGTCAGCAACTAACAGTAATGGTCAGTGAATCCCTTCCTGCGCTCCAAGAGGTACATTTACTACCGAGAGGGTCGAGAACACGTAAAGAGTCCACAGTACAGCAAGGTGAGCTATCACCATGTAAACTTCTCCGGATGACGCTCCAACGCCGCTCGCGTCGCTTGAACAAGAAGCGAGCCAGAGAGCAGAATGGCTCGGTAGCTCTTTTCCATACTCGGGTTTCTGTCGCCGGGATTATTCCCGGTGCCATTATTTGCCATACGAAGCAATCAGGTGGCAGAAAAACACCGCAGCACGACAAAGGGAAAGGCGACGCAAAACACGCCGGCGGCGAACGGCTCGCTGCTGGCAGCGATCTGTCCGAAGGCTTC